CTGTCTCTCTCTCTCTGTCTCTCTGTCTCTCTCTCTGTCTCTGTCTCTGTCTCTGTCTCTGTCTCTCTCTCTCTCTCGCTGTCTCTCTCTCTCTCTCTCTCTCTCTCTCTCTCTCTCTCTCTCTGTACCAATTGAACTCAGGACCCCGTGCTTGCCAGGCAAGGGCTTATTCCCTTTGGTCTTGGTTCTTGTTGGTGCTCTGAAAAGCGATATCACCCTTCCTAGGTTTCGTTACAGCAAGGCCCCTCTGAGCCTGTGCACTGTCAGCTGTCGCTTGCCACTATATTGCTGTGTAGCTGTAACTGCAAGCTTTGAAGGCCTCAACACCACACACACACACACACACACACACACACACACACACACACAGAGCTGGGCAGTCTGTGAGGTTCTGCAGCTCTAGGCCAGCCTGAGCTGCCTCGGCTGCTGAGGGGTTTGTGGAGCTACAAGATGCAAGTCAAGATTTTGTTACTAATAGGACCTGAGGGATCCATTGCATGTCCGGAGGCCACAGGCACAGAAGTCAAAGAGGAGAGACGGGAGGAGAAAGGGGAGGGAGAAAGGGGAGGGGAAGGAGGGGGAGAAGCAAGAGGGGAGAGAGGAAAGTGGACAGCCCAATGCGATGGCCAGGTTTCCTCCGGGAAGGTTTAATTGGCGGCTTTAAATGAAGAAGCACAAGTTTCAGAAGGTCACTGTGAGAGTCAGGGCCCTTTGCACGTCTACCAGGTCCTTGTGGGGTGCGCGGGGACAGGGCCAGGGCAGGCCACGTAGGCTGTACCTCCCCGACTTACCCCGGCCAGGCAGCACCTGGGAGCAGGTGAGAGCTGAAACTCATGTCAGCTTGCCAGAGCCCTGCTTCTGGTCTGAGACGGTCAAGGTGGCTCAGAATGGGCACCCAGGGAACGTAAGGGCAGAGGGACTCACTCAGGCCGCACCGCCACCTTCAGTGTAGACTGTGCTGACCTCACAAAGAGGTCCCGCCCATACCCTTGGTGACATCAGAGACCCAGGCAGGACCACAGGGCCAGACAGGCACTTGTCAAACACCTGTCAGCATTGCACTGCGAGGTCCAAAGTGAGTTCTGCGGCAGCACCCAGAGTCAGACAGGAGGGGCACAGAGTCCCACAGCAGAGCACTTGGGTGTGGGCACGGGAGGGCTAGGGCCAGGGAACTGTGGAGAACTGAGCCCTCAGCCCGGGCAGGGAGGGTGAGAAAGGGTGGGGAGGGCGATGCCCTGTCCCCAAGCTCCGGCTGCCGCCTCTGCAGCCTACCTCCTTTCCTGTGTGCCACTGCCCTGTGTCATTTTAAGTTGTACAGAAGTCATCCCGCTTTAAAAACAAAGGTTAAAACAGGCAAGTGAAGCAAAACAAAATAAAATTTAAGTTTCTCTTATCCTCAGGCTAAGAGTATCGCTGTTCCTCTGCTTTTTTTCCTGGTGGTGCATGCATGTAATCTGAGTACTTGGTAGGCTGAGGCAGGAAGATCACCATGAGTTCAAGGACAACCTGATCTACATAGTGAGTTCAAGGCCAGCTTGAACTGCAGGGCGAGGCCTTGTCTCACAAAACCTGAAAAAAAAAGCAATCCTTTTGTACTACAAGCAGGTACTAATAGAAATAAAAGCAAAAACAGAGGGTAGAGGGTCTCAGATGGAGATTCCAGCCTGCAGAGGGGAGCTAAGTTAGCCTGTCCCTAGTCGTTAGCAGGTTGTGGGTCTGTGGCTTGCTTGCGGAGGTGGGTCTCCTGTGTAGGCGTGCCTGAGGGCTGTGGTGGCCAGGGCGACCTGACCTGAGGAGGAGCAACAGCTGTGTGGCAGGAGCCTCTAGCTTGCCTCAGGCCAGGAGCCCGACCTCCTCCTGAGGTGGGTGGGAGTAGAGCCTGGTCAGCTCTGAGCTGATGTCACCCCTGAGGGAACTTCCGATTTGCTGCTGTTGTTGGGGGTGTGGGGTTCGCCTAGTGTCACTCTGGGTCTCTCCTGCGGTCCAGAGCTCTGCGCTCCACATATCCTGAAAGCCATCCCTTCCTGTCGTAGCTCACAGGAGGACTGCCCGGGATTACTCTGTGAGCTGGACATATTCAAGCACAGGGGGTTAGAACTGGGAAGCGACTGGGGATTTGTTTCCTGAGCGGCTCCATGAAGCGGGAAGTGCGCTGTCCTGATAGGCAGTGTGGAGCATCTGTGATACAGAACAGCTGCCCCAGAGGATCTTGGGTAAAGAACTGTAGTCCTGGCAGGATGCGTCGGGGCAGAGGCTGCGGCTCTGGCCCTCACCTTGCCTGGACTTAGGTGAAAGTGCGAAGCAGGTGCAGCTTCTGGGGGCAGCACTCACCCTGTGGGTGGATTTTCTCTTGAGAGAAATGGTGCTGGGTAGGCAGGTGAGAGTCTTGGTGGGGTGCAGGAAGGCCCGCTGCTGCCTTTGCTTCTCCGTGTTTCCTGAGGATGCTTAGCCGCTCCCAGACTCAGCATTAAAACATAGAGATGCTGCCCTGCAGGTAGAGATGGTTTGCTTAGTGTCCTTATGACGCTTATCGCTCTAAGCTCAGCAACCTTGTCTCTTTCTCTGTTACTCCTTCACCTCTCTGCTCGCTAAGAGGTGTGCAACATTATTCCCCATGCTTAGCAGACCTTCAGCTCAATTTATTTTGAGAAATAACGTTCCACATTCCATTATTAATTTGCAAGTAATTTTTTTTTTTCTGATCATCCTCCACGGTTTTAATTTGCAGGTCAAATTTCATTAGCTCACCAACCGAGAAAGAGAAAAAAAATGACGGGCTTCGGTTCCCCGTTCCCTCTGAGACTATAATTATAGAGCAACGTTCACATTTGTTCTGGGGAAAAATTAATCTATTTTTAGCTGTAAATTATATGCTGGAGATAAATATAAAATTAGCAGACTGGAATTGGCGGCTCAGCGTCGGCCAGCCTGGAGTGCCCAGCTCAGGTGCTGCCGGTGCTAATCGACACCTGCATGCGCGTGTCCCGGAAGAGACCGAGAGCCATTAACGCAGTTCATCTCTCCTTTCTAGGTCTGGTATAATCAGAAGAGCTTCCACTCCCTGCCTTCCTACTTAAATCATCTGAACAACCTCATCCTGTGGCGCCACTTGCCCCCCGGCGTGGACTGGAGACAATACGGTAAGGTTATTTTTCATGTAGCAGAGTTGACTGCTTTCGAAAGCACAGTATTTTTTTTTTTTTTAATAAAGATAAAAGAGGCAGAAAGTGGTTTTCAGTAGGAAAATGAAGCACGAAGGAAAGCTCCTGCCGGCACCAGTCTGGGGGTGAAGACAGGCAGGGCCGTGGACGCTTCCTGCCTCTGCGGCCCAGCAGCTGGCTGACAGCAGACCGCACCCTCACTGCCTGAGGAGAGGGCTGGAGGCCAGGTAGAGCGTTCGGGGCTGCTGAGCACCTTGTACAAGCAGGCCAAATCCCCAGCGCAGGGATGCTGTCCGGTGGACTTCTGCAGGGGCGAACACAGACTCCAGGGAGCATCGTCGTGGGCCTGATGTGGGCGCCACAGTATGTCACTTAGCCATGCGATCAACGGTTGAGCACCCCAGCTTTCTTCTGTTGGCAAATGACCCAGGTCCATTTCTGCAACTCAGAGTTAATTTATTGGTTCAAGGGAGCCTTTATTTGCTTTACTTGAGTGGGCAAGTTACAATTTATCAAGCTAATTTTTTTAAAGAGTGAAACAGGAAATATTAATAAGCCACATCCATCATAATTTATTCACAAAATACATTTGTTGAAGTACTAATTTATAGACAAATCAGTGCTAAACACAGTGGTGCCTCAGTGCACAAATTGAATTCTTTACGTGATTCTGGTCACAGACTGAATTGGATGAGAAGCAAGTCAAATTTGCCCACGAGGTCAACATTCCTTTATTTATTTATTACGTATTTAGTAGAGGGTCTCCAGGCTCTCTGTAGATCAGATTAGACTCGTAGTGATCCTCCTGTTTTCAGCCTCCCGAGTGCTGGGATTATAGGCACGGGCCATGACCGCCGTCTCAGGGCTCCCCCGGGGGTGGGGCTGGCAGGCAGGTCGGGATCGAACCTGGAAATTGGTGCTTACTCATTTTTGGAAAAGAGTTTGAGGGAACCGAAGGGTGGAGGCTCACTACCATTGTCTCAGCACTCGGAGAGGCAGAGGCAGGATGACCAGGCATTTGAGCCCAGTTTGGTCTAATTTAGTGACCTAGTAAGATTTCTCAAAATAAAAATAAAGAAGGTTTTAAATAAAGGGGTGCAGCTCAGTGCAGAGGCCCTGGGTTCAAGCCCCAGTCCCAAATATGCAGGAAAAATTTAAGTCTAATAAATTCTTCTGAGTGCTGACCGTTACTTAACGGTTGGGTGGGGCTCCTCTTACATCTCCTCCCCTCAGTTTCTATTAGAGGACAAACAAATACGGACCCTGGAAGATAAACTTAAGTTAATTGCATAAAATTTGGAGTGTAGAGATTTGAAATAAAACTTAACATGGCAGAAAGGAGCTTGAGATTTTATGAGGACTCAAACAACTGTCTTCCTTTTTAAAAGTCAGCAACTAATTAGGAGGAGAGATTGTCCCGCTTTCTGGGTACCTGTCTGGGGGGACAGCTCCTCTCCTGCACCCAAGTCCTGTTTTGCCTCTGCCACCTCTGATGTCCAGGTGCTGTCTCTCCCGACCCTTGAGGCATCCAGTTCTGCCTCTGCTTCTGCCCATCCCCGGCCTGTCCCTGTCCTGTGGCCTAGCGATCACCGGGCAGCTCCTGCCAGGTCCTCCCTCCCTTGGGTGCGCAGCAGCTACTGTCCCCTGTGTGGGAGCAGGTGGCAGTGAGTGCACAGCAAGAGCCTTCCCTTCCCATAAGGACCTTCCGGGGCAGCCAGAGTGGCAGAGCCGTGGTGCGGGTGAGGACGGTGAGGCTCGGATGCCCGCGGGATGCCGGGGTGGGGAGCGTCGGGTGCTCATTGCCTGGAGCTGTAAAGTAAGCAACTAAACCTGTTTCTGGGAACTCTGCAGTGTAGGCAGAGATCTGCAGCACCTACGTAAGAAAAACTAGGACTTTTCATAGCACTGTTGTTCGGCCTGGCCACCAGCCCCCTCTGATGTGCGCTGGTGTGGTCTAGGGCACGTGGGGAACAGATCTTACTCCCTGTGAATGGAGCTAGCAGGGCGCTGGGGTTCTGACCTGTCGATTCTGAGCTGTGAAGGGGGCATGGCCCGGGGACCTCATCTCTGGGTCACCAGCCCTGTGGCTCAGATCTCAGCTGAGAGAAGCCAGGAAGCAGTGGGTGTGGCCTGGGACAGTCACAAGGGGACCTCAGCCCAGCAGGGTTGGGGGAGGCAGGAGTGAGCGGAAAGAAGATTGAGATATGCAAGCAGGACGGAAAAAAAAAAAAAGTAACTAATTTGAAGACAACAATATTCACTGTAACAACCATTGTTGAATTCCTGGTATTGTGTTTAGTGAAATTTCATATCATTTCTAATATTTGTTTTGTTTTTACTATTTTTGTTCTTTTTAAAAAATAAAAAAAGAAAAAATCATTGAAAAGAATAGGCACATCACCATGAATTCCCAGCTCGCTCGCTCGGCTGCTCCGGGGCACCAGTCCCACTGTCCCTGTCACCGCTGTGGCAGCTGTGTAGCTCTCTTTCCCAGGGTCTTCAGCTGCTCTGTCCTGGCTGCCTTGATGTCCTGAGTGGACCCAAACATTTCCCTTTGTGGGGTGTGCTGGCGCCTGCCTGTCACCCCAGCACTTGGGAGGCCGAGGCAGAAGGGTCCTTGTGAGTTTGAGACCAGCCTGTGCTACAAAGTGAGCTCAAGGCCAGCCTGGGCTGCATAGCAGGACCCCGCCTCAAGGTACCTCTCTCGCCCCCAAAGAAAAGCCCAAGACATTCCCCTTTCATGGTCATCCCAACTTTGGGGAAGAGCCTGCAGCCCTGTGGGGCTAGATCTGGTGCATAAAGTGGACGAGGACACGACGTTGTGTTTCTTTTTCTTTTTAAAAAATGTATTTAGGACAGAGTCTACAGGGTCTCACTGCATAGATGGGACTCATAGTGATCCTCCTGTTTGCAGCCTCCGAAGCACTGGGATTATAGGTGCGCCACATACCTGGTCTCAATTGCGGTCTCAGGGCACCCTGGGGACGGGGCTGGCATGGCACGCCGGGGATTGAACCCCAGTCCCTGTGCCTGCCGGAGCAGTCAGCTGAGCTGTCTGGCTGGCCCTTGGCATCGTGTTTCTATGAGTCTCGCTTTCCGTTGAGGGCATTCAGCAGCGTGCTCACCATATTTCTGATCACAGCTCCTAAAGAGCCCTCAAGAGCTGTTGCAGAAACTGAGAGAAAGATGGGGTGAGTGTGTTCACAGCGAGGAGAGGATTCTGAGGGCTCTCAACTGCGTGTGTGTACATTAAAAAAAATTTAGATTTTCACTGGAGATTTTGATCGCTGTGCAAGAAAGTGGCTGGCTGACTAGGGGAGGGGCAAAGCAAACAGCCGGGCCCCTGGAAGATGGCAGGGCTGGTGCAGCAGCTGTGGCTGTGTGTGTGTGTGTGTGTGTGTGTGTGTGTGTGTGTGTTTCCCTGCTGCACTGGGGTGGGGCTAATTTTTCAAATGTCCAATTTTCAAGATAAAATATTAATATTAATAGGGTTTTGTTGTTGATCAGTTATGGTGAGACCAACTGGTCAGGAGACAGTTGCCGCTGCAAAGCCGGTTTATTATCACCCCAGACACCAAGAAACTGGGCCTGCATGGTCTCCAGGGCCCCAGGCGAGGCTGGGGTGGCCAGTCAGGGTAGGACCAGGGCTTGGACTGGCTTCCTCAGCCTCTGCTAGGCTCGGTCTGTCTGAGCTGTAGGGACCTGGCTCCAGGCTGGCAGGGCAGGGCCACTGGGGCACCATGGACAGGGACACAGTGACTGTTACTCAGGCCCTATGTGTACTGCTGCCTGAGCCATCGCGTTTGCTGCTGATGTCCGTCCCAGAGGCCTCTACCTAGAGGGCATTATGGAGCACACCTGTCACCCCAGCACTCTGGGAGGCTGAGGCAGGAGGATCACAAGTTCAAACCCTGGCTAGGCAATCAAAAATGAATGAATGAATGAATGAATGAATGAATGAGTCAACCTAGAAGGGCGTGGGATGGAGTTGAGAGTAAAGGCCCTGGATTCCCAGGACTGTCAAAGAAAAGGGAAAAAAACGACGTTTACTACATGTGTGAGTTTTCATTTGTTTGTTGAAAAGTTGTGCTGAGATGAAAAACTGTCAGTCCTCAGCCCGTGCTTAAGGAAGTCTGTCTGTTTCGGTCATAGTTTGACTCGTTCTCGCAGTCAGCACTGGAGGGAAGGGTTGCGTGGTAAACCCGGAAGGCACAGCGTCCTGAGGGCTGAGTCCCAGCTCTTGCCACAGTGTTGCCTAGGAGCTACTGCTAGTGCTCAGAGTAAGATTGTCTACTGGCCTGGACAGCTGCGCAGGTGCTGGCAAGGGGCGCTGTCTGTGCTGTCAGCGCCCGCTGCAGGGGAGCTCTGGGCTCTGCCTCTTGGGTACAGGTGCTGGGGGCCTGGACCCTGGAGCCGTGGGCGCCGCCACAGACAGCAGCTGCCTGCTCTTGCCCTGGGCCTAGATGAGGCGTGTGCAGAGTGTGTGATCCTGGCTGGGCGGTGCTGGGCCTTTTTTTCCTTTTTGCGGTACTGAAACTTGAACTCAGGGTCTTCTCACTGAGTTACACCCCCAGCCCCTTTTAACTTTTAATTTTGAGACAAAGGCTCAAAATTGACAGATAAGGCTAGAACAACGTGCTCCTGCCTCAGCCTCCCAGAATGCGAGGATGACAGGCACACCCCACTGGGCCCAGCTAGAAGGGCAGGAGGTCCTAAGCCTCCTAGGACGAGGCTGGCTCATCAGTCCCCGTCCCACGCTCCCTGGCCTCACGTGTGACCCCCCCGTAGCTCACGCCTGGGTCTCCTCCCCCTGCTGCGCACAGGGCCAGCTCCCTGTCTCGCTGTCAGCCTCTCTGGGTCCCGAGGTGTTCTACCTCCTTGTGCATCAGATGCTGAGCACCAGGAGCGCAGAAGCCCTACCCCGTCCCGCGTCTCCTCCCTGGGGAGGGGACCCCGGGTCTGAGTGCCCTTCCCTTCTG